AGGAGATAATAAAAATTGTAAAGCATAGTATATCAATGCTTGATGGTCGTTGCTCAAATGAGAAGAAACAATAATGCACGAAAAATCGTTTCGGCGAACGTTTTTGACCGGTACTGTACTTAGAGATCAACTTCTTTGAAGTACTCAAGGAGTACCGTAGGTGGTTGTTGGGTTTCCTCGTTGCCTATTTTTCGTACATGAACCCAGAAAATTGTTTTTATTATGCGACACATGTCTTCAAAACCTGCTGTTGGAGGGAATAACGTAGTACCGTATTTATTTTATACGACGTAGATGCTGGTAATTGGGTTGATGCATAATCATTGCGGCTTTCTTCAACAAATTTATTCGGCGAAAATAATAGAGATATTTAAGAGAATCGGGTTTGCGAAGGACGAATTCACGATGAAAAAGCAACCCATTTCAAATTAACCTAGGGATGGTGAGTGGTACACGAAAGAAGGAAGAACCATGAGAAACGGCCCAGAACCCGAGAAATGGTACCCCTTCCTTGCCCGTTGATTCGAGCATTGATGCGACTCTCATCGCTGTGCCCTCTTCAACACTACGCTCTCTCAGCTATCTAATCACTCGCCACGTATTGAACTACGGCGAGTGATCAGATGATCGGTGGGCGGAGATCGCCGGACCCGCCAGCTTTGAGGCATGATAGGTCGCCGAGGTCAAATTTTTCCATGCGAATTGCGCGTCAGTTCGCACCCTCAGGAGGTCCGTGGGTCCCTCAACTAGGTCAGTTTCCCTTTCTTCGACCTTCATTCTAATCGTGAATTCCTCCTTAAAGGCAAATAGGGCACATATAAGGGAGTTGATTGAGCGATTGAACTGAGTATTAGAGACGTGCGAGAAAAACCGTCGACAAGGTCGTCAACAAAACCCTCTTTCCCACTAGCAATGAAAGAGGCTGGCTTGGGGAAAGAAGGCACGTACACACAAGTTTTCTGGAGATGTCAGTCGTTCTATCGGTTGATACGGCAATCAACCTAGCTAGCTGATTTCACACGTTATGCCAGCCACGCACCACTTCCGGAGGTGGCGGTCCCTGGATTGAAACCGAACGCCCCGGGGCCTTAACGGGGTTTTTCAAGGTGGGAAGTTGCTGCAATGTGTGCAGCTACCCACATACAACCTCCAGGCACGGGAATTACTTCTCTAGCGTGCCTGAGCCCGACCTTTGCCTTTAAAGGATTATCAGTGAGGTAGATCACATCCTTCAAGAACGCTTCCCATTTGCTTGGCGTAGGTCGATTTCACTGGTGCGAGAGCAGCAGGGTCAACCGTCCGTTGGACAAAGTCCAACGCGACGACGAGAGTAATGCCGAGAGTGAACGTACGCACGGAGACACAGACGGCTCGCGGGTGGCGAGAGTGAATGCCGGCGCGGAGAGCGGTGAACATCGGTCCAACGTCGCTCCAATATCGGTCCAACGTAACGGTTGACCCTGGTCATAGATCCTGTGGAGCGATTACCCTCTAACCTCGGCCCAAAGAGTCACCAAGCTCGTATAAATAGTGGTTCGTTGCCAACTTTTCCAATGCTGATGCTGAAGGGGTGTCTGAAGGAGCTTGCTGATATAAGGTTTGACAGCGCTTTGACCCTCTCAACTATCTTTCAACTTGGCTTCTGTTGCATTGTTCCTTGCAAATAAGTTCAGCTGATCGCTAAAGGACCCCGCCGTCTACCAATTTTTCTCGAAGTGGTAGAATATGTAGCGAAAATGAAGATGGTTTTCGACCAGCATATCTCTTAGTGGAAGAGAGTAGAATATTCTCATAAACAAATGATAAACAAAACGCCTGTCCTTTTCGATAAAAAGCGCGAAAATCCGCAATTATGCATCAACCTAATATTTTATCCTAACCTGCGACAGAAGGGATGGTGGGAACACTACTTGAAAGATAGGAAATTCTCGACATTTCAGATATGGAAATTCGCTTTGCCTTGTAGCGTTGCTATCACACTGCTAACTCCATTTATATCTGTTTATCCTATCATCTTACGGTACCCAACTTTTTCCAGATCTCTAAATATACCCATTGCTATGATGTTACCACTATGGCGGTAAGTTGCTGGGACAAAAGTAACTGAAAGCACACTTAATTTTGCACCAGAATTAGCATTTAACTTTCATCACCAAGCTGCAGATTCCCAAGCTTGCTTATGAAGAATCTTCATGGACCATGGACAGTTGGGCGCGGACCGGAAGCAAAAAAGTGGATTTGCGACGATCTGGTAGGTACGGACACGCTATGGGGAAGGGTTTGAGTGAATACGTTCGTGGCGTTCGAGCCGGCACATGGATACGTACCTTCTATGCATTCGTCGAAAAACTTCGGTCTCGCCCACGGCGCTCCATGGTCCGTTGATTCCTTGGAAGGAGGCCAATTTCAAGTCGAAAGGTGGGGCTCAAGGTAGAGAATCAAGAAGGTTGAGTGTTTCCAAGAGTTGTGATTTAAGCTGTCCCTAATCGACACGGCGGAGCCGAAAAGGAATGGTACGCTCATCTGAGGCACATAGTCTAGTTGAAAGTTGGGAGTTGTAAGCATAAATGAGGGAATACCGACTTGATTATGGATTGGGCCGCCCTGAACTGTGTGTAAATCAGATTTTGATGTGTTCCCATAGCATCAAATCCCCACAAACGGCAGCCGAACTATGTAGGGCGCACTTGACCAGGGTCAACCGTCCGTTGGACAAAGTCCAACGCGACGACGAGAGTAATGCCGAGAGTGAACGTACGCACGGAGACACAGACGGCTCGCGGGTGGCGAGAGTGAATGCCGGCGCGGAGAGCGGTGAACATCGGTCCAACGTCGCTCCAATATCGGTCCAACGTAACGGTTGACCCTGCTTACACATAATGCTCCTCATATGCACTTCTAAACGGCATCATTTGCAACTGGTGTGTGTGTGTCTGTAGGTAATTCACAGTGGTGGCCGGGCCGGTCCTTGTTAGTGCTATATATCTTACTTTGACTTTTTCCAATACGGCGCGTCTTGCCCCTCATGATCGGCGATTTAGGTGGTTCGACTTCGCCCTTGTGTCCATATATTATGCGAGTTATTTATTCAATGTTGAATAGATGCTGGCTTCATCGGTACTCCGTGGTATGGCGCGGTCCATTTGGGAAAAATTTCATAAATAAATAAATAAACAAATAAATAATTCAAAATAGGTTATCACTCGCAAGTATAAAAACGAGTTTGCATACCTTCTCTTTCAGAAAATGTATATCATACTAGCGGAACTCCTAGGGTTCATGACAGTAGTTTTGGCTGCTACGTCAGTTGTGAACATCGTCTCAGTGATACTCCTGGTTATTCGCGCGAAACGACATCGTGACAAAGCTGAACGGAAGTAATCATCGATTGATGTATGCTATACGAAGTTATTACGTTTTCAGTCTCTAATACTTTATGTGAGTGTTACTGTACACAGCTAGGTACACCTCGTGGGACAAGATAGATGTGTGAATTATCGATTGAGTGAATGTTTCAATTTCCAGCACGAATATCAGTAGAATTTAGTGGCTACCCTTCGACTTTCAGGTTATAATCTATGATCGAGCAGGTGTTGACGGCACAGCAGATGTTCTAGTCCCCTATGCCTCCGATCTGCTCACATTCTCAAACGCTTATCTTCTTATCATTCTCAACAAAAAGATTCGCCAACGAGTTCTACGATACCTCAAATGCTGTGGTAAAGTAACAATTTATTGGTTCAAAAATAGCATCCACAGTAAGGTTAGTAGGGTAAAGCATCAGCGCGAGTAGGGTAAAGAAATCGGCAAATTGCCTGCAGCTTTATCTATTTATCAAGCAAGAGGGCGCACTGCAGTCAATCAAGTATTTAAAAGAGTTAATGCCAACATATTCCTCACTCAACTAGCAAGCAGAAAGGATAAGAGAAGAGCTGAGAAGCATGCACTGTAACTGAAACAACAACGAATTGTGAAGCGAAGCCTAGCAGAAAATCTAATATTCAAGTAATTTGGGTGCCCGATTTGAAAAAGAGGGCTGCAAATTAGTCCAACAAAACACCATGCGTTGAGATGAGTATCCTAACTGTTCCTATGACGTTTGTTTCCTTATTAACGTTAGGCATCTGACAAGCTTCAGTCGCCGTTCCTTTCGAGTAAAGGGCGAATAGTGATCACATAACGAAAGCCTTAAAGGCGCGGGTCAGGATTGGGCGCCAAGAGCCAGCCTCCTTTTAAGTAAGAAGAGGGCCTCCAAGCCGCAGGAGGCGCGACACTGTCGCGACTCAAAAGTGCGAGGCAACGGCGCTAAGGCCTTGCCTTGTGTGCTGCCGTGCTGCCACTCTTATCAACCACGGCATACGTGGTCTCTGCACCTCTTGCGCAGGGTCAACCGTTACGTTGGACCGATATTGGAGCGACGTTGGACCGATGTTCACCGCTCTCCGCGCCGGCATTCACTCTCGCCACCCGCGAGCCGTCTGTGTCTCCGTGCGTACGTTCACTCTCGGCATTACTCTCGTCGTCGCGTTGGACTTTGTCCAACGGACGGTTGACCCTGCTCTTGCGTCCTGGGCGTTCTCTCGTGTTTTCCCTCCTCGCAGCGCTGTGTCTCTCCATCATACCACGGCCGACATCACGAGGGGAAATTTCAGTGTTTTCCATGACGCTTTTGCTTTTTCTCTCCACTATCGTTCCTCATCGCATTTCTTGTCTTAGCTTCGACAAAATAACACAGCAATTTGATCCCGATCCGTGCCTTTAAGTTCATGTTAATCAATATTAATCGAATCAAAATAATAACATGCTGTGGAAGAACAATGCTTCATTGAAAAAGTTCTAAGCCGTAGAAATAGAAGTGTACCAGTTCTTCATTTGTAGTAAATCCCACTAGTCAAGCTATACAAATTTCAACCACATTCGCTGGTAGGCATACCAAGTGCTT